GAACCAGCACAGCCGAGCCTTTCATGGAGTCGATATGTAAATACTGCGCCTGATGCCGGCTCATTGTAAGAGTGACTTTGTCTTAGTCAAGACTGGCTAAACCTAAACCGAGACGAAGACATTACCAAGACCAAAGGGTATCAAGACCGAGACCAAGACTGGGACCAAGTCGAGACCAAGACTGGGACCAAGTCGAAACCAAGACCAAGTCGAGACCAAGACCGAGACCAAGTCGTGACTAAGTCAAGACCGAGACCAAGACTAAGACCAAAACCAAGTCGAGACCAAGACCGAGACCATGTCGAGACCAAGACTGAGACCAAGACTGGGACCAATTCGAGACCTAGACTGAGACCAAGTTGAGACCGAGACCAAGACCAAGTCGAGACTAAGACCGAGACCAAGATCAAGTCGTGACCAAGTCGAGACCAAGATCGAGACCAAGACCAAGACCGAAACCAAGTCGAGACCAAGACGGAGACCAAGTCGAGACCAAGACCGAAAACGAGTCGAGACCCAAGACCGAGACCAAGTCGAGACCAAGACCGAGACCGAGACCAAGACCGAGACCAAGTCGAGACCAAGACCGAGACCAAGTCGAGACCGAGACCAAGTCCTAGACCAAGACCGAAACCAAGTCGAGACCAAGTCTTAGACCAAGACCGAAACCAAGTCGAGACCAAGACCGAGACCAAGTCCTAGACCAAGTCGAGACCAAGACTGAGACCAAGGCCGAGTCATGACCAAGTCGAGACAAAGACCAAGACCGAGACCAAGTCAAGACCAAGATCAAGACCAAGACCAAGACGAGACCAAGACCGTGACCAAGTCAAGGTCAAGACTGAAACCAAGGCCGAGACCAAGACCAAGTCGAGACCGAGACCAAGACCAAGACCGAAACCAAGTCGTGACCAAGACGGAGACCAAGTCGAGACCAAGACCGAGACCAAGTCGAGACCAAGACCGAGACCAAGTCCTAGACCAAGACCGAGACCAAGTCCTAGACCAAGTCGAGACCAAGACTGAGACCAAGGCCGAGTCATGACCAAGTCGAGACAAAGAGCAAGACCGAGACCAAGTCAAGACCAAGATCAAGATCGAGACCAAGACCATGACCAAGTCAAGGTCAAGACCGAAACCAAGACCGAGACCAAGACCAAGTCGAGACCAAGACCGAGACCAAGACAAGACCAAGACCGAGACCAAGTCAAAGTCAAGGCCGAGACCAAGTCAAGGTCAAGACCGAGACCAAGACCGAAACCAAGACCGAGGGCGAGACTGAGGCCGAGACCAAGACCAAGACCGAGACCAAGTCGAGACCGGAGGGGAAAAAAACAGACTAAAACAGTTTTTGAAGCTAAGCAATAACTTGTAAGATTTTGTTTTGCATCGCCTGCCTATCTCTGCCGATTTCGAAGTCTCCAAATGAATCCATTCTGCAACTTTTAAATACATAATTATAATTTTAAAAACGAAATTATAAGCTTGCTTGAGTGCTGGATCCGAAAGTTGGTCGTTGTGTCGCTTTGGTTACACACACACTCACACACACAGTTGGCGGTGAGCTCAAAGTCATCTATCAGTTGTGCAGTTACCCAAAATCTCCTGAATGAAGTTAAAACCCATCAAGTCACTGATATGTGTTTTACTAAATATTAATACATCTAAAACTGTACATGATATGTGTTTTTTAAATCAAATGATCAAAGTGCTCGTTGCCGCTGCGATCAGTGGCGCGGATACTGTGTTTTCTTGTGTGGCTCGCGCACACCGCACTGTCTTCGCTCGGACACCGCACTGTCTTCCCTCCGTTGCGGATATCGTCGTGGATATTGTAGAATTGTATTGCTAAATCCCTTGACCACTATGTCTGTCTAAGACAGCGAGGCCTAGAAAAGACACACCGCCAAGGCCGTGACAAGACCGAGACCAGGTAAAACTGACATACATCACTACTTTGTCTGCTGATGGAGTGAGAAAGCTTCAGAGAAGCGGACTAGTCTTGGCCCTTCCGTCCAGCTGGTCAAGAGAAGAGTTGAAGTTGGCTCCTACATACATTTGATCACGCTTATAAGGATTTATAGACTTCTGATGCTTGAGATCTTGAGATATTTTTGCAATAGGATAAAACGCAGGAACCATCACAACAGGGCTTTCCTTTAAAGCTCTGATTGTTCTTACAGTCACTGCAGCTGCCAAATGTTTCCTTCTGTCCGTCTCATGTGCGTAGGCTTATTAAACAAACCGTTGAGCCTCTGTGATCCCTGGCTTCTGTGCAACGCTCAGGGTCCGTTTAGTGCTTCAGGCCTCATCATACACCGTCTGACAGCGTCACACACATGGTTTCTCTCTGTAGGCATACTAAGCTCATGGTAGCGGTTTTATGTGTGTCGTGGTAGGTCAACCCTTTCGAATCGCATGGGATGAACGGAGTATATCGCTGTGTGTCACATGACATCACGCCGCCGTAATTCATGCGGAGTCACGCCGGCCTGCTGCCGTAACCCCTTTAGATGTTCGCTTACACAGTTGTGCATGTGGCTTTAGTTGTCTTTGATAATTTGTTGAGCTACTGTGCCGAGTGTCGCTCTCATCTCGCTGTTGCACACATGGTTCTCGGCACATGCGGTGTGTGTCTGTGTACGGAGCCTGTCAAAGCACATGACATTCACACATGGTTTTGAGTACTGCATGAATGTTGGGCTACTGGGTTCACTCGGAAACATATGGAGCGGGTCCGTACCTCAGCTGACCCTCGCGTGACAGCTCGGCCCCAGAGGTGTGTCCCTCCATTGTTTCATCACACTTTGAGTGTACACACTACATCACTGCCCAACATGCACCAGGGCTCGCACGTAACCAGTGACATCATCGCAGCACTGCACTCTAAGACTCAGTTTTAAATAGTTGAAACGCCTTGAGTGCTATGAGCTGTGCAATATGCAGACCCTTGTGAAGAAGAAGTATACGTTTTAGTATTTTTAATGAATATGAACTGAATATGAACATAATGAAATGGATTATGTTAGTGTTAAAATGCATTTATGTTAAATGCAATTAGTAGTACTTAGGAGTGCTTTTTGACCCACTTTAGTTATTTTATACACTGACAAATAATGGTGTAGGTAGGATTTACTTTGAAGTGATTTTCATTCAGAAATTGCTTCAAAATGTAAGAAATAATTTAGGGCTGTCAAACGATTAATCACAATTAATCACATCCAAAATAAAAGTTTGTGTTTACATAATATATGTGGGTGCACTGTGTATAATTATTTTATATGTATAAATACACACACAAGCTTGTATATATTTAAGAAATATTTTCATATATAGATTTATATATAATTTATATTATATATAAATATAAATATTTTATATAATATTTTTTTCTTAAATATACATCCATATGAGTTTATTTATATATATACAAAATAATTATACACAGTGCACCCACATATATTATGTAAACACAAACTTTTATTTTGGATGAGATTAATTGTGATTAATCGTTTGGCAGCCCAAAAATAATTACATAGATATGGCAAGTAACACGTTAAATTAAACATAATTTTGAAGTAGAACGTGTGAAATAGTATTTTCTTGTAATAAAGCTTATTTGCATCTGAATCAATTTTTTTGTTTGTTTCTGAGTTCACTTTATCTACCAACCCTAACCTAGCACTCTTCTAACAGTTTACTAATACTTTGTGAGTTAGTTTGCATGGAGTTGTCTAAAGTGGACCGTATTCGGTGGATTATTTAATTTATAGTACATTATCTTCAAATTTTGTTTGCAATATATATATATATATATTAGGGCTGGGTATTGAGACAAATTTCACAATTCGATTCGATTTCGATTCACAAGCTTGCAATTCGATTCGATTTCGATTACGATTCGATTCAATATCGATTATTTTGGATATCAGTTACAATAAATGGCAATTTTTCTCAAGGGAATCAAATCTCTTAAATGCTGTAAACTATGGTCTATAAATATAGTCTAGTTGTAGCCTACTAGGCTTCATTAGCCTAATATGAAGGTAATAATAAACTGTTTTGTAGCTATACAAACTCTAAAATTACACTTTTATTTATTTTTATAATAAGAAGATTATATGAAATATAAACATTTAAATGAAATGTAAAATGTTTAAAAACTTGCCAGATTTATTCAAATATGCATTAAATATTGAAGAACACTAACGAGTGTGGACTAACGAGTTTATGTGCGTTTTCTGAGGTAAATATGACGATACATTACATTGATTACAAGCTGTTTAACTGACGTCTTTCCACGGTTGAAACGCAGATTGAGCGAATCAATGTGACATGATACGGATTTCGATAAGTTGTACTCGATCTTTTAACACACTTTCAGATGCTCATTCATCTTCATTTCGCGCTGTGACCGGTATTATTAACCCGGAAGAGAGATCAGCGCTGCTGCTTCTCCAGAGCGATCTCACGCCACAGCGCAAAACGCTATTTATGTTTTTGAATTTCTAAAGAAAATGGACGTAATTTGAAAATTGAGACTTTGTTTCATATCAATAGTAACAAAGGACAACGATTATTGCGATTTGTTGGATGCGCGCAGCCGCGATACAATGTCTCAATTAAATGAAACAGGATGACTAATCGATTCTTGAGATTTAAGAATCGATATCGGTTTGTAAAAATGAGAATCTATTAATATCGAGAAATCGATATTTATTACCCAGCCCTAATATATATATATATATATATATATATTCAAAGCAATTAAGTTCATTTCTTTTCACAAGGGGAGGTTCCTGCAACTGCTTCCCTGCCAAGTCAGTTTTGATTTCATGTTGACCAATAGGCTAATACTACTCTATCCAAAAGTATTAAACAGTGGTGTAAAAGATTTACTGGCAAATGGACTGGATATACATACTGTAACTCCACACATGCAGGTACATAAGGAAAGTGTCTTAGCCGGTCAGTAACGGTGTCTACTGTGTTTGTTCCAGATGTCATCTCTCCAACACATTACAACCCGTACTTCAGGAGGCTAAGGTTTGACGTGAGCTCCATGGAGAAAAACGCTTCAAACCTGGTGAAGGCAGAGCTCAGGATCTTCAGGCTGCAGAACCCAAAGGCCCGTGTGTCTGAGCAGCGGATTGAGCTTTACCAGGTAAGTCCTCTCCTGTCCCTCAGCCATTTCATCATTCGTGCGTTTCGTTTGACTTCATGCACTCATTCAACTCCTCGAACATCTGTCATGACAGCAGCAGTACAACAATCATGTCTGGACAATTGCATGCAAACATTGGCTTTGGTTTTCACACATAACTAAGATTTATATTTTTTAAAATATTTTTCTTAGAAACATTATTCAAAGTTTGTGTCAAACTATTACAATTTCTTCATTTATGAGATCAGATATGATCTATACAATTATTTCTACTTTTATGCCCCCCAAAAAATTAAATTAGTTTTATTTCAGAAAACATGATTATCCTGGAAGAGGTGTATTCAAGTATAGTCATTTATGCAACAATTCTAATTAAAAGGAGTAGTTCACTTTAAAAAAAAAACTTTTGTTGATAATTTACTCACCCCCATGTCATCCAAGATGTCCACGTCTTTCTTTCTTCAGTCGAAAAGAAATTAAGGTTCTTGATGAAAACATTCCAGGATTTTTCTCCATATGATGGAGAAAATAAGGCGATGAATAAGGGTCTTATCTAGCGAAACGATTTAAAAAATAAATAAAAACATTTAAGTTTTAAAAGCACAAATGCTCGCCTTGCTCTGTTCTGTGATGAGCGTTCGTGACTCTCCTGTTCAAACTCGTTCATCAAAATGAACAAATCTTTTTTCGAGTCATGACTCAAAGGGTCCTAGATAAGACCCTTATTCATCGTCTGGTGTCGTTTAAAGCCCTTTGAAGCATCACTGAAACTCTCAATTGGACCTTGAACCGTTTGGACCCCATTGAAGTCCATTATATGGAGAAAATCCAGGAATGTTTTCATCAAAAACCTTAATTTCTTTTCGACTGAAGAAAGAAAGACGATCTTGGATGACATGGGGGCGAGTAAATTATCAGCAAAAGTTTTTTTTTTTTTTTTTTAAAGTGAACTACTCCTTTAATGTATTTGTAAAGGTATACTATGTAACTTTTTTTGTTAATTATCAATCCTTCTGAAAAAAATAGATTTTGCCTTTACCCTGATTCCCTATGCTATTGCGTACATGCGTCACTCGCCCGTGTATATCTCGTCATATCAGTAAATAGAGTAAATTTTAGAGGTTAGTTGTCACACCGAGTGAGAAAGCTTGACATGGAGCCGCTAAATCTCGAGCCTCCAAGGTTTTAAAGAAGCGTTAAACAGAGGAGAGCCTGCTGGAAAAAAAGAGAACGACAGAGCTCGTAATAAAACAAGAATCAACATTAGCTTGGCTTTTGAGAGATGGCGAGGACTGAGGGATTTAAAATGTTGTAAAAGTGATGCAGAGATGGATTTTTTATTACTCAACAGTTGTAATAAGGTGTTATTAAACAGATAAATCCCCACATGTAGCTCTCTGACAGTTCATTTAAAGCATTATCTATTGTGAAGGCTCATTTCATTATGGTTGTTGTAGCGCTGTGATAGAGTTTTAAGGAAGTACCGTGTCTATTAATCGGGTAAAGCTACAGTAATGTCTTCAGCTTGTCAGCTTGAGATGCTTTTTTCTATCTAAACTGGTTATATCTCTTAATAGTGGATGTTTTATGAGAACCATCTTCATCCGCACAGTCATGCAGAGCCAAAACACAATAATAAAAAAACAATGTTCTTCCGCAAAATGCTTGCAGTTTTGTTTTTTAAATGCCAGAAGGCCAAAAGATCCGGACATTGACCCATTCACGACAATTGCACACTTGCTGATGTGATATTGCTTAAATAAAGGTGACATGCACAGATACAAATTATATGTCGTCAATAACAGTTCACCTCTTTAATCTTATTAATATTGGAACTATTTCTCATAAACTGCAATGGAGGGCAGACTTGCGTCCCCGACTTCTCGTATTTTCCTCCTGAGAATTAAACTTCAAAATTCAGAGATTTCAATAACATTTCTCATCAAATAATAATAATAATAATAATTAAAGCTGCAAGCAGCATTTATCGGTGTTCAGGTCTTTAAGGCATTTAAGCACAAAAGCATCAAAAGACATTAAGTTGTATGTAGCAGGCATGATTTATCATGATATACTACATTTCAGCTTGATATTACATAATTAACCATGTTCCAATATGATTTATCATAATTTACCATGTTAAAATATGATTTACTACAGTTTAGTTCACACACTCATTTTCAACTTCAGGATAATAGTCATTTTTTATTGGAAAATTGGAGTTATGAGCAATTTAGTACTTTTGGTTGCTGTAGCGCCACCTATGGGCCAATCGGGGTCATACCCTGATAGCTTCTCCACAATTCGAGGCCCTACCATCTGACAAAGTTTCACAGCTCCAGCCCTTACGGTTTGGGCTGCACGATGCGTTTTAGGGGATTTTTTTTTCTTTCTAGCAAATACAATAGGTTTTCAGCACTTCGTGCCTGAACACCTAATAATTCATTACATTTATATAGCGCTTTTTTTTTTCTGGAAACTCAAATCGCTTCACATAGAGGGGGGGGATCTCCTCAACCACCACCAATGTGCAGCATCCACCTGGATGATGCGACGGCAGCCATATTGCGCCAGAACGCTCACCACACACCAGCTTACTGGTGGGGAGGAGACAGTGATGAAGCCAATTGGTGTATATGGGGATGATTAGGAGGCCATGATGGACAGAGGCCACTGGGCAAATTTGGCCAGGATGCCGGGGTTACACCCCTACTCTTTCCAAAGACATCCTGGGATTTTTTATGACCACAGAGAGTCAGGGCCTCGGTTTAACGTCTCATCCGAAGGACGGATAATAATCGAATAAAAAATACTCCCAAAATCAAATGATCTGAGCAATTATAGCCCTATACTCTTAATGTATTTATATTAACTATGGAAGTTTGTTTACGCCAAAGAATAAAAAAATAAAAAAAATAAGGAAAATACGACTTTTATCTGGCAATTGTGAGTTTTTTTAACTTTCAATTCTGAACTTTTTTTTGTGCAATTTCGAGTTTATAACTCACAATTCTGACTTTTTTCTCAGAATGTAATATAAAATTGTAGTTTTGAATTATAAAGTCCAAATTGTGAGATAAAAACTCAAAAGTCTAAAAATAAAAATATATTTTATTCCTTGGAAACAAGCGTCCATAATCATCTCTTGTTTTATATGGTCGTTTTTATTTGTACTAAACGAGGTCTAGGAAATGCACTAGCAATATCTGAGTGGCATTTTCAGTGTATTTCCTAACTTTTTTTTACAGTGTACAGATAAATCAATAATAAAGAAGTCTTCTGAGCTATGAATGAGCCTGTGAATGAATCACACCAGAGTTAATTGTAACCCGGGCCACTTTCACTAACACACACTCAAGTTCAGAAAAGCGTTTTCACACCAACCAAGTGAACCAAACTCTGACGTCAAACAAGCTTGTGTACGCAGTGTGAAAGCGCCCACACATGCACTTTTTAACCTCTCTTCTTCTCCTCCTCTTTCCTCGTATGTTCGTTTATTTATCTTAAGGGTGCCGTAGAGCTCCGGCCCATCGATCAGCGGGGTTTTATGTGTGTGTGGAGAGAAGCGAGTGTGGAATGCTGTTTGGTGATTTAGAGATCCGAGGGTCTCGAGGGCCAAATAAAATCCCAGTGCTGTCGAGGTCTGCGCTCCCCACCTCCCACCTGCCTCTCCGTTTAACCTCGCTCCCCTCCTCTCTGTTCATGTGTCAGGTCTGTCATGACAGGTGCAGTAAACACTGTCCCACTAACACAGAGATGGTGAATGTCTTAGGGAGGTTTTAAAAGGGGTTTGCAGGGAAGGGAGAGGTTGATCCTGATCCATTTTTATTACTCATGTTGTAGCTGCTCGGGAAAATATGGTCATTGTAATTAAAGTGCACTTTGATAAAGTGCAAAATATAGTTCATCTGCATATAACATCGACTAGTTTAAGGTGGGAGTAAAACGTCAATCTACACTGTAAAAAAATATTGTTATATATGTACAAAAATTGTTAAAATAATAATAAAAAAATGCCCATTTGCTTAAAGTCCGCACCGAGAAAAAAGTGATGGAATTTTTTTTTTGTTTGCATTTCTTATCTTATGTCGCTAGTAACCACACTCAATGTATTTTTTTTTTCAACACATCCCATCATTTTTAAAATATCGGCCTCTACCAAATGGTTTGAGATGTCACTTAATGGTAATAAATGGTACCATACTTTTACATTGCCCATCATAATTTTAATTTATGATCAAAACCTTTTCTAATCTTGACAAAACACATTGTCAGAAAGGTCTGAGACTCAAGTTTCCATATTTTTTAACAGAAGTGATATTTTGACAGAAATGTATTAATGCATACAGTTATTTCATTTTTGGTGTTACGCCTAAACAAAATCTCATGAGAACTTTAATTTTTGTGATATCAACTTCAAATTTGGAGCATAACTTGGATAGATATATGGCTTTGATTTTATAGTAATTTTATAGGAAAAAATGTTTTGTAAAATATATATTTTATATAAAAGACAAAAATATTTAGTACAGTATATTTGATTTTATGTAAACTTAACACTTCCATAACTTTTTCATACTTTTATTTTTTGAAGTGCTTTTACTTCAGCGATAATCTGCTGAGTGTTTTCTTTAAAACAAGACTAAATTTAGGTCTTTATTCCAAAGCATACTTGAATTACAGCCAAGTTTTAATAGTGCGTTGTAATGTCCATTCTGATGTGCCAAATCAACCGTTTGGTTGAGCATGTTTTTGAAAAATTATTTTAAAAAATACTTAAGTTTTTTCATAGCACCAAGTAACATCATTTTGTAAAGAGCTCTTACAGTGTAATATCTAAAAAAAAAAAATGTTTATCTTGCAAAATTTCACCAAAAAAAGTTCTGACATCAAGTGCTGTTGATTGACACTGTGAAATCTAGAGGGATTTTTTTTTTTTTTTTGGCATAATATACCTAAACCAGATGATAGAGATGGCTCAATCAGTTTGAGTTAAGTTAGGTGCTACTCTCAATAAAATATAGTGACTCAAAATGTGCTTAGCCGTTTGGTTGAGAAACATTTCTTATTATTATCAGCGTTGAGTTGCTGTTTAAAATTGTGTGGAAGAATTCAAGTTGAAAAGAGCAACATTTATGTGCTAGAAATCTTTTGTGACATTATAAATGTTTTTGAGCTTTTTTTAATGCATCCTTGCTGAACAAAATATGAATTTCTTTAAAAACGAAATCAGACGGTAGTGTATTTTTGAATAAATGAATAGATCCCTCATAAAGTAATTCAGCTCTCCTGTTAAACCGATCAAGTGTTACTTCAGTCCAGCATGGAGATTTATCTCCATATCAGCCGTTGTGTAACTACAGTAGATTCCAAAGCGGCCCTGGACCGCTTTACGGACAGCCGACCCCCTAAAGATCCTACAATTAGTATCTCCATTTTGGCCTCCGTCTGAGCCTCTCCATCCCACGTTCACCTCCACGGCCCGATGGAAGGAAGCTGAGCCGTTGCAGATCTACAGCTGAAGCAGTGTTTTACGCATTAAGAGCTGCTCTGTCCAATGTAAACACGCAGCCACGAAGGACAGAGGAATAACAGTGCACCCTGTCCAGCATCTGTTTCCGCCACCACAGCCTCTCTCCAAGCATTTCCCAGACCTGGCTAATCAATCAGGGAGCTTCCAATGGGAAGAAAGAAGGGAACCGCTGTTGAGGCACTGGATAAGGGTAGCGTTTCATGAGGGCTGGCACGTCGATGACTGCTGATGCGTTTCCTGTTTCTTTAGATTCTAGGTCATAAAGAGCTCACGTCACCCACACAGCGCTACATCGACAGCAAGGTGGTGCGCACCCGCATGGAGGGCGAGTGGCTGTCGTTCGACGTGACCGAGGCCGTCAGCGAGTGGCTGCTGCACAGAGGTAAAGGAGTGTGAGACTGTGTTTTACTACAAATGTCTTATGTCTAATTCCTGCTGGAACCCTCAAAATCAGCTTAAAACCAAAATTGAAGATTAAAGGTATATTTTTCTCCAAAACATTGACAAAAAAAATCATTATTTCTCAACCAGAAATATTGATGTCTCATCTTGTAATGAGTCAGTACATTAAAGTACAGTGTAAAATACATTAAGTGTTGCATTTAAGCTACATTAAAGGGGTCATGAACTGGCTTTTTAAATTTTATTATATTGTTTTCTGAGGTCAACTTATGACGTTCGCTTGGTTTTTGCATTTAAAAACATCAAAATGAATAAGTAATTGGCTATTTTCTGCCCTAGTTTTGAGCCCAGCTCAAAAACGCTCTGTTTTTATGGGCGTCTCGCAATGAAGACTTGGAAGTAAACGCCCACTGCTGTGAGTGGAGAACAGTTTTGCATATTATAATGAGTTTCGACTCACTCGTCGAACAGAGTCCGTGTGTTGCACCATTCCTGTCAGATCAATATAGACGGCACAGCACCGTTCTTTACTCTTAATCGGTCTGGAAATCCAGTCTTGTTTACAAAACAATCCTCAGTGAAATGAAGCGAACAGACGACGATGTTTTACCTCATCAGCTGGAACGTCATTAAAAATAAAGTTTATCCATGAAGTCCTATTGGAATCCAGAGGAAGCTTATACAGCGACTGTCTTCTTCCACAAACAGGCACTGCACAATATTCTGTATCGCTCGGTAGCTCAATCCGGTGTGTCATCACGAGGTAGGCATCTATGTTATTTAGCTATGTGTGTAATTCACGAATCGGTGGGCGGGGCTAAACCGGCTGTGTTATAGTAGCCGTTGATCTTCTTCTGCGGGGGTGGTGTTTTATCCTCTTTGACGTCATAGTCCCCCACTTTGAAAAACGAGTCGTTTGCTGATGAGGCTGGTGTCAATAAAAGCTTTTATTGGACTAACAAGGACGTTTTCAGTTCCGAAACATACAGGATATTCTTATAATATGATAACCTCTTAGATGTCAAAAGGTCAAGGAAAATTTGATTTCTCAGTTCATCACCCCTTTAAATAAGTACACTTATATTGATGTGCTCACTAACATACACATATAAAACACTTTATTATAATTTTAACCATAGTGTTTTCCGTTGATTCTAATTAATGTTTAAATGTACTAAATCGCAACTTCATTCCAAATGTGTAATTACAAATATATTAAATATGGGTCCCACTTTATATTAAGTGGCTGTACACAATAAGTCCATTGTATCAAATTATTCATTTCAATGTAATTAACTAGTACTTACTAGTACTAGTAACTAGTACCCTCCTGTTAACCTCAAATCTGATAACACTTTTTACCCTCTGGGGTCAATTTGACCCCAGTAATTTAAACCTCCACAATATGTTTTTTTTTTTTTTACAAAGGTTTGTCTCAGTTAATTTATGTCTTTGTTGACTACTTAAGTAACATTTTAAGTTGACATCCACCCACCACCACCCTCTCCACCCCACCTAACCCCACCTAACCCCTTATACATCCAGAATGCCCATTGCACGACTATGGACAAATTTAGAAATCAACAAAAAATCGTACTGATTTGACCTAAAATTGGAAAAGTATAAATACATCTGGTGTTTTATTTGTTTTATAATATTTCTAAGTATAGATTTATGTAATCTATGACAGTTGGAAAGAAAAACTATTTATTTTATCAAGGATAGTAACACGAGTTATGTCTGGGGTCAATCTCACAAAAATTATGTTTTCTCCTCCCCCATTGCAGGGGAAACATCAAATTTCTCACAAAAATGATGTTTTCCCCTCCCAAATACACAGGAAAGAATTATTAGTTATCTTGAGAATTATGTCACATGTCATGTGAACTACTAGTAGTTCTCGCAATACTACAGATATGGTTATGTTTGGTTAGAGCCCTAAAACAGAGGGACGTTTTTTGAAAATGATATTGAATATGTAAAAATACAATGAACATTATAAATTCAAATTATAACACGTTATAATGACCTCAATATAACAACTAAAACAAATGTGTGTGAAATTTTAATATTTCTTCTGTTTTATTATATATCTAAAAGAGCCTGGGGTCAAATTGACCCCAAGGAACACCGATGTTACAAAATTTGTACAGGACTTTGAAAAAAAAATTAGCAGGTTAATTTTATGTTTACAGAGTTGTCCTAATTAAATTATGAAAAGTCATTAAATTTGAAGCAAAAAAAAAAAAATTATGTTTTTACAGACGTTAAACATTGAATGGGGTCAAATTGACCCCAAGGATAATAGGAGGGTTAATATAAAGTGGGACCTAAATATGTGACATTACATTAATAGTATATTTTAGTTTACCATAGATGCTTGTCAGTACTTTTGGTAGTACACTTTAACCATATTTCAAAGACAATAGAAATAGTTATAAAATCACATAAAAAGATGTACTGCTTAAAGGGATAGCTCACCCCAAAATGAAAACTCGGGGGTCAAAAAACCATTTGAAAAAAAAAATTTGCATTTGATTTAAAATTAAACTACAATACATTTTAATTTAACTGTGTATAACATGCATTTCAGTGTGCAAAAATATGTAGCTACCATTTTCCGTTTCAGTGGTCTAGCTTGAAGAATAAAAGACTTAAGTAAAAATGTATATTTGAGTTAAACATGACATTTTGAAGTAGAAAGTATGAAATAGTATTGCCTTGTAAAAAAAATTACTTCGAATCCTTCATGCATGCAAAGTTTAGTGAGTTTTCACCATAGCTTATGAAAGTGCTTGAGAGTAGCAGTAATAACAGGCCAGAGCATGAAGGTGTAGGATCATCGTCAGCATACATGAGCTCATAACAGTTGGAGCCCAGCGGTTCTCCATCACATTACGCAAGAGAGCGATAGACATCCGCGCGCGCGGCCGAGAGATTCAGCATTACTAGCGGCCGTGATGAATGCTGGAGCTGAGAGACAGCAGTGACGGTGTGTGACTCCTGAGGGATCATGGGAGTGGGCTCACTCACATCAGATGAGCTCATTTATCTGCTGTAGATTATCTGACCTTGCTGTGCAAGTGTTTTATTTTTCTCTGTTTTTCTCTCCCACCAGACAGAAACAATGGATTCAAGATCAGCCTGCACTGTCCCTGCTGCACATTTGTGCCGTCAAATAATTACATCATCCCCAACAAGAGCGAGGAGCTGGAGACACGCTTTGCAGGTGGCTTTGGGTGGGGGTGCGTGTGTGTGTGTGTTTGTGTGTGGGTGTGTGGGCCGGGGGGGAAGAAAAATGGAAATGAATGTTTGTCAGACAGAAGTAGGTCTGATTGAGGCCTGAATAAATTAGAGGCAAAAGGTTGCTTAAAAAGTCCACTACAAGTCCAAAGTCTGGACACACCTACTCATTGTAGATTATGCTTATTTGTCACATTTTCGAATCATAGTCATCAAAACTTTGCAAAAAACACAACTGAAGACATGGGAATTATGTAGTGACCAAAAAAATGTGTCACAAAAGAAAACTAGAACATTTTAAAGTTTCCACCCTTTGTCAAGATTCCAGATTGTAGTCAGATAATGCTTTTCTAAACTGTATTGAATCGTGACTATCTGGTCCTTTTTAAAAGTGTATGTTTTGACAGTGCTCTCAAGCTATATTTCATTGACCCAAAACGTTACATTGCAAATTTGCCAGATCACAGTTTAATAGGTATTAATGCACCTGTTAATGATTATTAATAGCATCTAATGTTCCTGAAATACGTACTCCATATGTTGTGTGCATTAAAGCATACTGAAACATGTATGATTCAAAATTACACTGACAGCAGTTTTATGTTTTTCTATACATTTGATTATGTTTTAATTGTGCGACTCAAGGAAAAATCACTGTCGCCTCTCATGGTCAATTGTTTTGGTAGTGATTTATACATTTGGCAAATCTGATTTGGCAGATTTTATCCAAAGTAACTATATATAAATATAAACAGTATATATATTAAACACACTGTAACAAAAAAAAATCATGATTTGTTATCATAACGTTTTTGCTTCAACTTTGATAATTTATGTGGTTCAGATAACATAATATTTAGAGTTTCTGATTATTAAATCAATCTCCTTCGTTATATTTACTCAATTTTTTCAATTTCAATGAACTTAAAGTTTTAAGGCAACCAGGTTACTTCATCAAGTTACTTCAAGTTAAACCGACAATATATTTTTTACAGTGCACTGAAAACCCTAATAAGTTGATTGAACTCAATTGATTTCAATTAATTGAGTTATGGGGTCTCCCAAAACGTGCATATTTAAGTTTACTGAACTTGGTGCGTATGTAGATTTGACTTAAATTGTTTAGTTCACCAAACTTGACTTTTATTACTTAATGTACTTAAGCAATTAAATTTAATTTAATTAATTAATTAATTAAATAATTAAAAATGATAATTTAATTTTATTAATTTTATAATTAATTAAAATAAATGTAATTAATTAAATTTACTTAAGAAATTAAGCAATTAAGTTCACTTAACTTAGTGTTGATTTCAAGTGTATGTATATATTAAATTATATTTATGGTTTGTTAAAATCTTAAATTTTATTTTACAAGTTCACATAGTAATTTCCGCAAAGACACAAGCCAAAAATGCACTTAATATAGATGAATATAATATTTTTTGGGCTTTTTACCACTTAAATTTACCCTGAACAAAAGCTAAATTAGCTATAGAATGAAAGTAGGATTTTCACTCAGGATTAAAAAAAAAATGGTAACACTTTACTTGAAGGGGTGTGCATAAGACTGACATGACACCTTCATAGTCATGACATGAATATGAAGTAGGGTTTATGCATGTTTATGACAACTGTCATTAAGTGTCTTTCGCTCAGTAATGACATTTTGAATATATATATTAACCTGACAGTGCCTTTTTCATGACAACTTGCCATTAAATCAAGTTAAACTGTCATGTGGTTGGCTTTGACATTGGCTGTCATGAGGCATTATAACTGTCATGAATATTTTTCGTGACCTCAACTACAGTGGTACACATTGAATTTGTCATTAAAAAGTTATAATGGCTTCATGACAGCCAATGTCAAAACCAACCACCTGACAGTTTAATGTAATGTTAACCCATAAAGCTAAGTGCTTTCTTAAGTTTGATAATTAATCTGCTATGTCATGTTTATGACAGGTTGTGTTGTCTTAGTAATGTCAAGTTGTCATGACAACGACACTGGCAGGTTTTGATGTATTGGTTTATGTCAAGATGTCATAACAAAGACATCTCAAACAATGTCATATTTGCATAAAAAAATGTTAATTTCTGGTTCACAGGTATAGATGACAGCTTTGTGCACGGAGGCGATCTGAAGATGTTTAAAAAGCGCCGTCACAGTGGCCAGTCTCCACACCTGCTGCTGATGTTGCTTCCATCGTACCGTCTGGAGTCCCAACACAAGAGCCACCGACAGAAGCGAGCTCTGGACGCAGCCTTCTGCTCCAGGTAGGACCTTTTCCCACAGTCTGCATCTGAACCACAACAGCACTTCTAGTGTCTGGATAGATCCTCATCTGCCATTAGTTAAAAACAGCCAGATGTCAGGCCAGGATTATGCAATCGCTGAGCCATATACTGTATCAAAGCAGACTGGACCACCTATCAATGCTGACTGAACTTAATCAATGAACTGGAAAACTTTTCACTGTTAGATTAAAGCTAATGCGGTTGGATTGTCTTTTAATAAAAATCATCTGTGTTCTCTCTCATCCAACCCATCGCTGACACGATCATATAACAATGTGCTGTTAATTGTATACTTCCTGACATATCCACGATAACAAGCTGAGAAAATATCAAATCCTAAAGAGAAAAATCGACAATTAAAATGACAAAGTGGACTGATCTGGTTATCAGTGTCGGCCAGAATTCAGAATTTTAAGAAATCTCATGAAAGAACCATGATTTTATCTCCTGTGCTGAGATAAATAATCAGAATAGAGGGTTTGGGTGGGATATCTTTCTCCTTTCCCCCCCTTTAGACATTGAACACATCACAGCTGTGAGACATTATTTGCTTCTTTCTAGTCAGCTGTGGGTTATATCAGAGGGAGGAACATTCTCAATCTAGAAATCATTTCATTGGTCAGAAAACTGTATAGTGCAGGATGAGTTATCAATATTTGAAATGTGAAAAATGAATTAGAATTGAATTAGCCACAGTGATGTTACGTTAATCCAATACTCATTTTGCAATATGTTTTAAATGAGAGGGAAGAACCTAATATTAAACTTGATTAAGGTATTAATCTGACAAAATTATTTGGAAAAAGATTTTTTTTTATTTTACTAGGCAAAAAAAGCATACAGGAAAAAGCACACTATATCATTGACTATTTCATAATCAGTTATTAATATTTGGTTGGGTCTCTCTTGTTTTTGTATGTGTTCATAATTTCTTTGTATGAGAGCATGAACAAAAATGACGTCAGCACAATTTATTTCATTGCGTTATCATCACAAATAAAACAATCGACTCTAAGCACAATTACGCAATTTGCTCACAAAACCTTTAACACATTGTTAAGAATATTTTTTTTTTTTTACATGAAATTGATGTTTTTTGATTTATTAAAAATTAAGTTTCACAAGGGGACAACTGAAGGAATATACTTTAAGCTGAAATATTGAATTATGCCAAAATGGTTCCATGTCTGACTTATATTTTCAGATATGATTGACCTATCCTGTATTATTTTTATTTTTATTATTTTTATTTTTTCAGAGTAAACCGCATACATGGAGCATTGGCATTAATCATTTTCAAGGAAAAAAAAACAAAAAAAGAACATAAAAAAACCAAACAAAAAAACAAGGGCAGCGTAGTCAAATACCGAGTTACAATATCCTCATATAAGCATTTAAGGATACATGATAGACTTATATTCAATGCCAATACAGTTCAACGGCGTTTTCCACAACTTCTGAAATGATTCAGATTTACCTTTTATCGTACATCCAATCTTCTCCACAAGTATAGTCTCTTTAATCAGGATTATCCAGTCCTTAATAAGGGGTGGGTCAGTGCCAACCCATTTATTCATAATTGATTTCCGCCCCAACATTGTTAAGAATATTTGAATGAAGGGTGATGCTGTCAATTTTCCTGCCCACTACTATACTGTACGTTGTGCTGTACGTATGAAAATGTTTATGAGTAAAAATATAAAATGTATCATTAAAGTAGTAGTTTCTTTAAATCTAATTCCATGCTAAATTTAGGTTCAAAAACTGAAATGAAATTTAAAGGCTTCTCTAGCCTCGTTTTATTCTCAATGCTGAACATTTAGCATACCGCTATTGTACATGTGCTACGATTGCATTTGTAGAACAGAAAATCGAAATTTGCTGTGGGATTCAATGTAAAAAATTAGTCATGTCGACATATTCTATAGAGAAGGTTACTGCCATTATTTTTGTCAAAAACATTTTTTTCTTTTCTCATTTTAAGCTTATAGTTGATTATTTATACACTGTAAAAAAATTTTTTCAAGATTTGTTATCACAACATATTTTCTTTTGTCAAATCAACTTTATAATAATTTATTTAGTTGAGATAACTTATCATTTTGAGTTTCTGATGATTAAATTAATATCCTTCATTGTATTAACTCACTTTTTCCAGTTCAATCAATCAATTCAATCAACTTAAATTTTTTTTACTGTGTAGTAATCACAACATTTTTTCTTTTGTCCAATCAACCTAAATCATTTATTTAGGTCAGATGACATATAATTTTGAGTTTCTGGTGATTAAATTAATCTCCTTCATTGTATTAACTCACTTTTTCCAGTTCAATGAACTTTAAATTTTAAGGCAACCAGGTTACTTACTTTTTTAAGTTAAACCAACAATATTTTTTTACAGTGTATTTAAAAAGAATATGGAGTTTTATTTGCACGTAATATCAAAGTGTAGCCAATCATTTTATGCATGCCAAACTTCTCTGGCCCTCAAGACATTGGGTTAAACATCAGTTCTGTTTATCATACCACAGAAATGTGCAGGACAACTGCTGTTTACGCTCTCTCTCCATCGACTTCAAGAGGGATCTGGGCTGGAGGTGGATCCACGAACCGAAAGTTTATAACGCCAACTTCTGTGCTGGAGCCTGTCCGTATCTGTGGAGCGCGGACACTCAACACAGCAATGTAAGACTGGTTAGGATGAAAACTTGTACAAGTCATTACCTGTGTCTGGTTGGGATGAGCTGGTGTGATTCTAGATGTAAAGCTTTTAGGATTATAAATAGTCTGAATAACGGCATTTTATGTCCTTTTTCAGATCCTCGGCCTCTATAACACCATTAATCCAGAAGCGTCTGCATCTCCTTGCTGTGTGTCTCAGGATCTGGAACCCCTCACAATCCTTTACTACATCGGCAAAACCCCCAAAATCGAGCAGCTCTCCAACATGATTGTCAAGTCCTGCAAGTGCAGCTAGGAACCGATTATCTCACACATCCACACAAACAAACACACAATCACAAACATGCTGGGCAGGGTGTCACGGTACAACACAGTAATTCCTACAGAATAGTTCCTACAAGATGTACAGACCATCAAAAACTCATCACACATCTGAATGGAGAGTGGATGTGTGATCTTGTGCTGGAAACAGCCCTGTCGGCATGCGTCACATCACCCACTCATCACTCTATGGATGTGAGTTTGGCAAACACTGGAAGTTTGTTATAGGTGTCTATATGTGAAGCAAGCCTTGTTCCATTTATTTCAAACAAACACTTGTTTCTGTTTTTTTTATTTTTTTTGTTTCCCCTCAATTCAGATATTGTTTGCTTGACTATTTGATCATATTTAAAACCCATGATATTGTTCACCAATACTGGTGAAGAGCTGGAAAGTTCTGTCTCAAACTGTGTTGCTGCCACAAATGAACTCCATGCCTGGCGCGAATAAACGGTTTTTGCAAGGGGGTAGAGTTGGCGACTGACTGACGAAATATTTTTAAAGTTAATGCACGCTTCAGAAAGGCATAGTTTTACCACCTTACATGGTGTAAAAAAGGCCAAGACCAACAAGCCATGTTGCTCCAAGCAGCCAAAGACGTTATGTTCCATTGCGAACAGTCATTTAGGTCAGAAACATTCTTTACACAACTGCAGTCGTGAACGCTTGGCCAACACATTGCAAGCAAAACCGTTCCACACTCTTGCATTATTGTGGCAGCAACAAATAGATTTTCCATCAAATGCCAAATGTTTTATCATGCAGATACTGTTGCTAGATATAAACATGTTGACCGTGCCAAGCAAGATGTTCCAGCATGAGAGTTATTGATCTGAAAGAGAAAAGTGACGTGGCGTTTCTGAAAAGAATGACCATGACTTTTTTGATACTCACCACGCAGAGCTATACCAGAGCATATAGTGCCTGGTTAAACTGGAATATGGGTGGTTAGTGAATAAAACGCTGGTTTTGCGCTGAAATGCAAGTCGCAAACAAAACACGAATGCAAAAGTGGAAACTTTGTGAATTCACCGACTTGGTCCCTTATTACAGAGTGAGCGCAGCAGTGTTGAAAGGAAGTGCACTGTAAAAATGAATATGCTTTATCTAATCAATAGAATTGTGGCAACAGATTACAAGCATAAAGGGATAACAAATTAGAATTGAGTAATAGTTAATCAAATTATTCCTTAAAAGTTAACCATATAAAATGAGTCAAGTTTACACCAAAAAAGTTTTAAAACTAACAGACAGACGTCAACGATTAATTGAGAACTCTTTATTTTATATTGCCAACATTGAAGACACCTGATGTTAACAAGCAGAATCACTGAAGGAGAAAACCGGCATTTTAAAACAAACACCAATCACCATAATGGTGACTTCAATTTATATTTTTTTGGTAGTTGTTGTTGTAAGTTTTACTTAATTATTCGATTAATTATCACTCAATTCTAATTTGTTAAATTTAATTTAGAATATTGCTTGTAATCTGTTTCCACATTTTTTTGGATTAGATAAAGCATATTCATATTACAGTGTGATGTCTAGTAATGAAATAGGTATGTTTACATGCACTAGTTTTCATCAATCAAATGGATCAAATCTGATTTCATTTTCTAAAAGTTCCCTAAGCGTTAGAATCCAATCCACATATTTGTTTACATTACATATATTCCAAACATAACTTACCCAAGGAAAAACGCCATTTTCTGCCTTAATGACATGTAAATATTGACCAGTTTGGAAGACGCGAGAAGTCATGCCTCGCATGTAAATGTAGCTGTTGATGTGAGAAGAGTTGTGTCAGTAAAGTCAGATTTTGATGAAAGGATGAAGAATGTGAACAGACCAGGTCATGTAAGTGAGAGACATGAACATGTTGTGCAGAGGCCAGCTTGACAAATGCACTGCAGCAGCCGCGGACGCTGACGTCAACGTCCATGGAGAAATGTTTTATACACATCTCAAAGTGTCTTCCTGAATTTGTGATTTTGTTTTCTCTCAGAGAAAGTGATCCTTTGTTTTGAAGAATTGCACTGACTATTTTATTTCTACAATTTTTTATTATTATTATTATTTGTAACTATTGTTTGCTGGTTTTTATTCGTAGTTATAGCTTCACCCACATAACATGAGCTGATGATGTGAGTAGCTTCCAAAGTGGAGGTTCAACTTTTAAGTCCTTATCTTAACCAGAATTAGAGAAACTGGTGCCAGATCAGTGTAAAAGAGAAACGTTGACTCATGCCCAGGATTTTTAGGTGACACTTATTTTATTTTATTTGTATTAGGGCAAGAATGCCAGTGGACTTCCTGCAGACACAGGAAGCAGAAGGAGACACCAGCATTGTCACACTAGAGCTGTTTATTGTTATTGTTGTCTATGATGATGATGATGATGTCGATATTGTTGACCCACTATGATGTATTGTAACACATTACTGTTGTGGTGCTCTAGTGGTAAATAAATTATTTAAGTGACAAGGGATGGTGTGTTGGAATTTGTTTTTTTCTTTACATTCAACATGACATCGTGATTTTTGCGTAACCATACACGCCACTTTCAAGTCAAGTGGCATGTTATCTACCATCAGCTATCTGTTTGAGCTACGCCGTTAAAGGGTTAGTTCACCCAAAAATGAAAATTAAGTCATTAATTACTCACCCCCATGCTGTACCAACCCCGTAAGTGAGTAAAATAAGTGAGTTAATACAATGAAGGAGATTAATTTAATCATCAGAAACTCAAAATAATAAGTTATCTCAACTAAATAAATTATTTAAGTTGATTTGACAAAAGAAAAAAATGTTGTGATAACAAATCTTGAAAAATCTTTTTTTTTACAGTATTCAGATTATTTAAACACATACAGAAAAAAAATGTATTGAATATTTATAAAGGAAATAAAACGTATTTTAGGACCATAAAGATTTTTTTTAATATACCGTACTATATTCAAACAATCTTTATGATCTCCTAAAAAAAATACGTTTTATTTTCTTAAATAATCCTCTGCTAACATAAACAGACTACATTACACTGCCTTATGATGAAACCCTAAACGTTTAATCTCCATATGTTTATTTTACTTAAATACTGTGTGGGCAAGTCGACATAAACAACAGTACAAACCCTTGAGCTAATTCTGACGATGCTCTTGATACTGTATTTCCTCCCAATGGCCCTTAAACTCTGGAGGCTTGCCAGGCTCATTAGCTGAGAGTTTGTGGTTCCTTATTTAGGAGTGAGACTCGAGCCACAGAAAGCTCTGGAGACTGTCAATCTTGAATTAGGTTTGGATTGATTAAGACTCAACATTCTACAGATAAATGCTCTGCAAACGGATGATGTCACACTCATAGGCTGTGTGAAAATTGCTGGTTTTTACCAAGTTTTCAGTCGCATGCCATCTTCATCTTGGTACTTTCATAATGAAACACAGCAGTGAAGACTCTGACATAGGACACAACTATAAAAATTAGTTTGCGAAATTTATTCCACTGTGTGTGGAAATATTTCTGGGTAAAAATACTGATAATAAGTCAGATTATTTGTAAAGATTTATATATATCTAATCAAAACTCTTGCTTTTGAAAAGTAAATTCCTGGGGTTTCTCAATGGATATAAGATATGATTTAATGTCTTACCTAATGGATTACTTTTACTTTTAACTTTTGGTTTACTTGGAAATTGTTTGACTTTTTAGAAAAACCTTGATGATAACTCAAATCGACTTGATAGACAGAGTATAAACAATTAAAGAGGTTAATGGTCACACAATGGGTTCCAAACAAGTAAATAAAGGCTGGATTTATTTACCAGCACTAATTTATTTTAAGCAGACTACACTCAATTACACTTTCTAAGAAATCTGTGTATAAAAACACAGAAAACTGAACAACCGCAGTATAGACCAAGATTAGACCAAGAACAACTGAAAATCAGGACTATATATACAAACTGAATCCAATTAAAAAGCAATAAACAGGCCTTACAACCTCTGGAGCAACTAGGGATTAAATGTTAGGAATATTGTTCCAGAGTTTTGGTGCTAAATACTGTAGAAAAAGGATCTACCACCAGCAGTCGATTTTGATATTCTAGGTATTATCAACTGGCTGGAGTTTTGAGATCACAATAGATGTGAAGGACTATAATGCGTTAAGAGCTCGCTCAAGTACTGCAGAGCTAAACCATTCTGGGTTGTTTTAACCCAACTTTGGGTCAAATACGGACAAACCCAAACTTTGGGTTAAAAATGTAAGGTAACACTTTATTTCGATAGTCCACTTTAGACATTCTACTAACTATAAGTAACTTTTCAACTAAAACTGTCAACGAACTGTCATTATAGTATTAGTAGACTGTCAGCTTAATATCTGCTAACACTTTATTTTGTTGGTCCCCCAATAGACATTCAACTGACTGAGTAACTTGGCGACTACAAGTAAACTTATTCTCCTAACCCAAAGCCTAACACCTAACCATAACAGTCTACTGACAGTCTACAATAATGATGTCACAGTCTGCCGTCTTCACCCGTCTGTCCCGTCATCTGCACTACACTTCCCAGGATCCTCTTGTCTACACACCTGAACTCACTCCCTCATCAGCCTCCCGTTCAGCGTCCTGTTTCACCTGTTTGCACCTCATTAGTCCTGATTCCTCTGTGTATTTAGTTCTCCCTCCTTCAGTCTGTCTTGGTCGGTCAATGTTGATTGTTACCCGGTGTATCCCGTCTTCCTGCCTGTATTTTTATATTAAAAACATCTTCATTGTGACTCTGGAGTCCTCCCGATCCTTCTGCCCGCTCCACACCGTGACAAATATACTAATACTTTAATGATAGTTAGTTGACATGTAGTTGAAAAGTTACTTATAATTAGTAGAACGTCTAAAGTGACTATCGAAATAAAGTGTAACCAAATGTAATAATAAAAATGTAACCCAATGGCTGGGTTAGTCCATATTTGGGTTGAAACAACCCAGCAATTTTTAGAGTGCATGAGGACGGTCAATAGGCGCATAGTGTTTCTTTACAAAGTTACATTGCCAACTACTGACCTGGCAGCAGAGTACAGCGTTTTTAGTCATTTTCGAGGAAACGTGTGAACGGGCATATTTTTCTACAGATTAATGATGACAAAAGGTTTGGGACAAGCTGTTTTTGCAGGTTATTTTTTTTAATCTTAGATTAGGGGGACATTTTTGGTTCCGAAAGTCACTGTTTTATACTACAATGAGGTCATTTCAAAAGATCAAGGACCTGTCAATTCCTCATGCTATAAATTTTGTTTGCTAATAAGCTGACTTTCACTCATCCCAACAGGGTGTGCAAACACAGAACTGATGTGCAACTAGCTCAGCTGTGGCTTTGTGCTTGTTTTGGACTCTAACATGAATCTTTAGTCCAATGTTCCTTTCTTTAAATGTGGCTTACTCAGTTTTACTTACTGGATTTTTCAAGATAACCTGGCATAAAGAAGCATAAACCAAGATGTTCCATTCTTTTGAAGCAAACTTAAATTGATCCAGC